AAGTGACACGCCAAGAATAGCACGACTCTTTATGCACTGAAGATAACCCGAATAAAGGTCGAAACGACGACAAATAAAATGAAACTGACAAGACACAATAATTCTAAGAAACACACATTCTTAATTATGATATTGTTTTTTTGATAATTTTTTAACGTTATCTTTTAATTTTCCCTACTTTTGGCCGTTTTTCAAATTCGAAAGGTGGGGTTTGGGTGGAAGGTTGGTGTCCTAGTGGATCGAAGTCAAGTGTTAGAACGGCGTATTTAGCCGGTCGTGGGTTCGAATCCCGCTCGTGACACTGACTTTTTTATCACAGCCAATACCTTACATAAAGATTAATTAATTGAAAGATGTTATTTGGCCAATCGAATCACGAAATCTAATGAATCAGGTAACCATTATTTCAATAAATTCACTAATTTCGTGATCCGCTAGACCAATTAATATATTACAATTAATTAAGGTTTTTAGTTGAGATAAAAAAAGTCAATGGCACGAGCGGGATTCGAACCCACGATCTTCGGCTAGATACGCCGCTGCTCTATCACTTGAGCTATCGTGACCTCGATCCCCTCGGACACCAACTTCCCATCTCAACCCCACCTTTTGCATTTTCCCTCCTTTTTGCCATTTTTCAAATGTCGTGTAATCGGGTTGGATTCTCGACGACTATTGAAATGACCACGGAGTGCTTTACCTAAGTATACTTCATTTTTAATCATTAAATTCACTGATTTCGTGGTCCGCTTGACCAATTAATATATTACAATTAATTAAGGTTTTTAGTTGAGATAAAAAAGTCAATGGCACGAGCGGGATTCGAACCCACGATCTTCGGCTTGATACGCCGCTGCTCTACCACTTGAGCTATCGTGACCTCGATCCACTCGGACACCAACTTCCCATCTCAACCCCACCTTTTGAAAAATGGCAAAAAGGAGGGAAATTCAATAATTAATTTAGGATTTTAAATAACTAATAGCCAGAAATTCATGAGGAAAGCACATTTAGGTCGAAAATAATTTTAGTGAAACTTACTACATGGATATTTATGTTCGTTTGTTAGGCTTGTATGTTATCTGTTACTATCATAAAATTAATACCGTTACCAATATATGCAAGAAAAATCTCGCTACTCAGAAAGGGGCAGTTTTTAGGTGTAATTCAGCGAGCTTTTTAAAGTTTTGTGTTTCGCATAATTCTTGGTAAAACTAAAAATATTACATTATATTTAGTGGTATGATTGACTAAATTACATATTTCAATTAATTAATCTTTTTATGTAAGTTCTTGGATGAAATGAAAAAGTTAAAGAACCCAATATAACACAACGGATCTCGCTCGTGACACTAACTTTTTCATTTCAACCAAGACCTTACATAAAAATATTAATTAAATAAAGACAGTGTTGATGACAATGATGATTTATTGCCAAAAACCGTAATTCATAAGCAAAAAAAATAAACTTCCATTGTCTCTCCTGTAAAATTTTCTTTTGTTGAGTTGTGTCACTTTTCTAGTGGTGTGCGATATACGTAGCTGTAAATATCAAATAAATTTCAATAAAAAATATTTTGCTTATGGTTCATTCTTTAGTAGTTATTGGGCTTAAGATAGTGTTTGATTTTCATGCTTTAATAAGTAAGTGAGTATAACAACGAAATAGTGAAATTTATCACTTGTTTGGTATTAATGGAGTTGGAGGTATTTCATGACAGACGGTAGATGTGCCGCCCTCATAATAATTAACGCGACGGGACTGGAAACGTCAAGCGACAAGACTTGGGGAGAATTAAATCAGTTATTTACATTGAGAGAAGGCCGGCCGTTTGTGCGAGAGCCGGCAGCGTTGGATGGGGAGAGAAAATTGCCTTTAATATTGTAGAAATTGTACTGTGAGGGGGCAGGCTTCGTTGGCTGCGTTCTCAATGGAGACGCCGGGCTGCATTGTTTAGAGTCGGGGTTGTTAGGCTTTTGTCAGAATCTCCCGGACTGAGAGAGAGAGAGAGAGAGAGAGAGAGAGAGAGAGAGAGAGAGAGAGAGGAGTCCGAGTGAAGGAAGAGCGATAATCACGTTGCAAGAACTCGCGTGCATCTGGGAACATTGGCTAAACCTTCAGAAGAAATTACATCTATTAGGTTTCGTGGTCCGATTGACTAAATAAATTCTTTTCATTTAAGGTTTTGGTTGAGATAAAAATGTCAGTGTCACAAGAGGGATTCGAACCAATGACTTTCCGCTAAATACGCCACTGCTCTACCACTTGAGCCATCGTGACTTCGATCCACTCGGACACCAACTTGTGGTTGAGATGGGAAATTGGTCTCCACATTTGTCGCCGAGAATCAAATAGATTACACGATATTTGTAAAATGGCAAAAAGAACTGAAAATTCAAAAGGTGGGGTTGAGATGGGAAGTTAGTGTCTCAAGTGGTAGAGCAGCGTATCTAGCCGAATCCCGCTGTGACACTGACTTTTTTTATCTCAACCAAAACCTTAATTAATGATTAATTAATATTCATAAGCAATTTGTATATCGATCTCATTCCATTCTGAACATAAAAAAAAAAAATTCATTCGCAACACTCAGCTGAAAAACCAACTTCACTGCGCGAACCACTTAGAATGAAAAGAAGGCACCACAGTGACCCTAAATATGACCATGTAACGATATTTGAACTTCTATTTTCTTCTATTGAATATTAACAATTGATTTTTACAATTGACAATTATTTACAAAATTACAGAAAATTTAACATTTTAACAGAAACAGACAAAAAACATAATTTGCTTTTGCGATACCGGCAGCATATAAAACTAGAAAATAAAATTATTTCATAAACATAAAGAACGATTACAATGATTTTTTTTATGAAGTAAAATAAAATACAATAAAACCGATATAGCTTAAAATACTTATGGACAAAATTAACGCACCACCCTTAAATGTTATTGTATTTAAGTTTATTCATATTTTGCATACCAAAAATATGTTGGGTTGTAAAAATAAGACATTTAAACCTTTTGTCACCGATTATTTGGGGATCGTGAGGTGCGGTCTGGTGTGACGCAGGTTCTGGAAAAACATTTTTTTTTTTCATGCCAACGTTTCGATCTTTATTGAGGTCATCTTCAGGGCTCAAAGTGTTTAATTACTGTGCAGTTGTGTCATTCTTGCGTGTCGTGCTGAGAGTGCCCACACGATACGCAAGAATGGCACAATTACACAGAAGACAAACACTTTGAGCCCTGAAGATGATCTCAATAAAGATCGAAACGTTGGCACGATAAAGAAAATGTTTTTCTGAAACCTACATCTCACCTGACCGCACCTCACGATTTCTGAATAATTATCGATTAACGGTCACTAATCACCACACATTTATTTATTATATATTATTTTAATGTTTTTCATATTTATATTAATGTATACCTAATTAAACGAGATCAAAAATTCATAAGTTTTAATGAAAATTATTTAATTATGATGGTTTGAAAGGAAAGTCGCCAAAACACTGGAAAAACATATAGTGACAGATTAAAACCTAACGAACTATTTTTTAAATAACGCGTATTAACTCCTACACTCCTAGGCATCGAGTAAATAAGTGGTCGGATTTCGTCCTGTAATAAGGAATCTCAAACTACAACAAGAGCGGTTTGAAGATGTCAACTTTTTTCCAAACGTGGAAACGGCGTATTATGTTTAACCCATCTCGTTACCAATTCCCATAAGTTTTCTATGAGATTCAGGCCAGGAGAACATGCTGGGCAATTCATCGTGGTAATCCCTACATCCTACAATGTGTGACAGCACGAGCTGCTTGCGGTCGACCATTATATGCATTAAAAGAATGTCCCCAATAAATGGAGCAAATGGAACAGCTTCCAGAAGAACATCCTCCTTAGTGCAGTTCTGATTCTGTATGATAATCAGTACGACCGCTCTATACCATAACTGCTGTCTTTGAAAAAGGCTATGATTCCCGCATGGCACATGGCACATCTTCTCCACATACGACTCGGTCATCTGAATGCGACAAAGCAAACCTATTTGAAGAGAACCACTTGTTCAAATTTCCAAGATGCTGAGTTATGAATGATCGCCATTCTACACAATGCATCTCCAATTGTAGATAACCTGATGCGGGACGTCTAGGGACTAAGCTATTTTTACGAAGCTGTTTTGAAAGCCTTTACGGACCGTTCAGAGTTGACTGCCTATCAACGAAACCGTTAAATGACGGTTCCATAGTGCAATAATAACAATTAAACGACCGTATCTAGCCATCGTACATCGGTCGACCACTACCTGCCCACATTTCTACGAGAACGAAGAACATGGCATTCTACGGACACCAAGCAAAGAGTATTCTGAAGGAAATCGCCAACAATCGCGACACACAAGAATGACACAACTACCGAAAACAAACACTTTGAGCCTTGAAGATTTCAATAAAGAAGTTGGCATGATAAAGAAAATGTTTTTCTGAAACCTACGTCACACCAGACTGCACCTAACGATCTCCAAATAATCTTGGCCAACGGTCACTAAACAAAACACTTTTGTCGCCTTTATTGCTGAGTGATCTCAGACACGAATCCCATTCGTTAAACGCCATTGCATTCTTGGAGAAGATTTTTGGTGATATCCTGATTAATTCTTTCCTATTCATCAAGAACAGACGTTTCCAATTCGCTAGCGTGTTAGGACCTGGGTTCCCCGACGTACACGTTGCTGAAGTTGGTCAAAGCTGGTCTCGAACTCATGTCCAACTTCCTTCATGTAGTCATCCAAAAAACATGAGCCCCGGCATTAACCTATATTAGCAAGAATCTCTAACCGATGTGGGAGGCAAATGGCACATGTTCTTCGATTATGTCTTTCCGTATCTCTATTAAGTTACAGTTCTTCTTCGCAAAACAACCAATTCCTCCAAGGAAACGCCTCCTCATAACATCAATCCATCCACCGTAGAATGCCATATGAAGAACCATGCAGCATGAAGAGTACCTTTCTCCTGCGCGTCTCCATATGAAATTACGACAAACTGACGATTTGAGGCCAACTCTCACATCATCAGTAAAGAGAATCTCCTCCCAATGTCCACCTCACATTTTCCTGCCATTTTCTCAGCTGTGGCAAGAAGAGGTCCAAAAGTCGGGTGCCAAGCCCTGAGGTTATTTTCATTGGGCCTTCTTCCTACAGTCCTGCAGGAAATAGAAACATTTCGGATTTGTCTTATCAGTTTTCTTATCTCATTTCCCGTAATGCTGTGTTTTTATAAAGCCTGACGATTGATGAATCTATCGTTCATCTCGTCCGTAGACCTCGGTCGACCCAGTCCTGGACTTCTAATGGAAGCCCTGTTTCTCTGAAACGCCAAAGAATCCTTCCTATTTTAGAGAGATTTACATTTAGTCTCCTGGCGACTTCGCGCAGCTATATCCTTCCTTTAAAAATATTATGATTCTGGCACTGTCGTAGTCACTCAAATGCCTGACTGGAGCTATTGAAAAAGGTTTAAGAATAAGAACAATATCAAATGAAATCAACGAAGGAATAATGGAAAAAGACATAATGCTACTTTTTGTGGAAAAAGTCTCTTAACTTCATTCCAAATGTGTTCGATTGGGTCCAAATCTGGACTTCGAGCTGGCCACACCGAGTACTCAATTCCAATCTCATTCAGGTAGTCATCCACAATACATGCTCTATACGGGGCCTGGCATTACCCTATTTTAGCACGAAACTCTGACCGATGTGGGGACAAATGAGACATGTTCTTCGAGTGCCTTGTCAGTACCTCTGTGAGGTGTTCCTCTCTGTTCTTCCTCGCTCAACGACCAATTAGATGCAGGCGTCCAACAAAATGCCACCCCACAACGTCAATGACCTACCTACGTAGGCAAGGAATTACAAAGAAAAATAGCCATTTTCTCTGACAGTCAGGCGGCACATATGGCCTTAGTCTTAAGTAAAAAGCGTATGGAATTGTATGTAATCCCTGGCAGAAGTCAGTGACACAATGACCAGACCTTGGCCTCTGTCTCAAGGCATTAGGGACATAGAGGCAATGTGAAATTGAACATGATGGCCAAAAAATTAGCTGTAAGCCGGTCCCCGTCTTAGCGACGGATTTAAAATAAGAACAAAATATGGTAAACGATGAAAGGGAACAAAGGTTGCAACTCTGAAGGGGCCACTACCCAGACGGGAACGACGTGACGTCCCCCTCAAATCTGTCAAACGTAGCTTGGAAATGGTTACCCAGGTAGACAGATAGATAAGAACGTCGAAGTGTGTGGCAGACCCAGGCTTGACCCACGTCTTGTTTCCCACGAACCTGGGGAACATAAAATAGCAATAGCTGGACAACCGATCAAATAAATAACTATCGTCTAATTATTTAATGCTGAAGGGTTGTCACACGGTCAAAAATCCGTAGCCACGGGGGACATCGTAAATTGGGGTCGCGTCAACCCTGTCCTCGACACCCGTCTTCGCCGGCCCACCCGCGGCGTGGGAACTCCCCCGACTTTTGAGTTTCCTTTCCGCCCCTATTCCGGGAGAGACCCGGTATAAAAGGGATGACTGGGAAATCTGAAGTCAGTCAAAATCAAAGACTCACTCTAGGCAGTCAAAATCAAAGACTCACCCCAGGCAGTCTAAACCAGAGACTCACTCCAAGGCCGTCAAGACCAAGGACGGTCGACTCCAGGAGTGGGTCCGGAAGAGAAGCAGCCACACTCTGTCTGGGATTCAACAAAAGGGCTCAGCCAGCCAGAGCCAGCGAGGACCAGCGTTTGCGACCCATCGAGCCAAGTCAACGGTCGAGAGAAAAGATGCTGTGGACACTAATCGTGGCGAGCGTCGTTTGGGGTAAGTCCCTTTGTTGATAGACTCATCCCAGATTTAGAGTTGTGGCTGACTTGTAGATTGATTAAGATTCTGAGGTTTCGGTACCGTTAAGAAAAGGAACTGTGTACAATAAATGTTACTGAATATGCTCTCTGGTTTATTGAATTCTGGAACCTTACCTTCCTCTACACAAGAATAAGTAGTTACTTACGCCGACTAATCTCTTGTCGCTTAGAGAAAAGGAAGCGAATATCGAGAGATAATTCGGCCGCCGCGCCGACGTCCGCGTACATAGCCAATATGAATACTCTAGGCCTAGGACCTTCCAGAAAAACGGCTACAACCAAAAATAGATCCATCCGAAAAATTGTTTAAAAAACTTACTTCATGGTAATCGCAACAGAACCAAAATTCTGATTGGATTACTGACAGAGCACTGCCGCCTAGAAAGCACATGCACATGGAAAGGAGTACAGACAGAAAAAATACGGTGAAGGTACTGCCAGAAGCGGAGGCCGCAGAATAAGTTTTCTGTTTTTGTTATGGTCTATGAAGATGCAGATTCTTACAACTAGAGGAGGAAAGGTCGCAAGGAAGATCCTACACTAAGTAGGACTGCTGGCAAGCTATGGATGTTGCTGGCCAGTGAGTTGTTAAAAAATAGAGGAGCCAATAGATCTACTTAGATCGAGGTGCGAAAGGCTTGTATCGGCCTCATTTATTACTATATCCAATTGTCAGAAAATTTCAGAGATGATAGCCAGACCAAAATTATCCGTAAAGACCAAACATAAATTTCGTTTTTGAAATTTTCTGTATAGCTGTGACATCATTTTTATATACTAGGTCAATTTTATACCACTGGTCAGTTATTTTGTTGAGAACTTAATGCTGATTTGGTTTTTTTTCTATTGTTTATGTACTGGCAACACAAATAGGCCTATTGGGAAAAGACTATTTATATGGAACCTATCATCTTATTACGGAGTTTCACAAGATCAAAATGGACACAATCAAAAGTTAACGTAAATTATTTATAAATTTTGGAGAAAATAATGCGAATAAATATGTCAGATGAAAGGTTGTTTGAAAACCTGTGGTTGCTTTACACTCTTTGTACACTAGACCAACAACTCTGCAAACAAGTGGGGTCGACTCGGTAAAACGTGAAATATGAATGCCTCAGATGAGTTCAAATTCACATTATGTCACGGGGCAGAACGTTTGACGAGTAAATATCTTCATCGGTGAAGTAAAGCTGGAAATTGTTTACACGCCGGTGCCTTAACACAGATTTACAACGTCAATAGCTTTTCTAATGTTCCGTCCGACATCACTCTTTTCCTACGACATGCAACAAACAGAACAAATTTACAGCGTCGAATAATGAAAGTGGGCAACTCCCTCTTTTCATCTGGAGCCGCCAAAGTGATTTACCATATGCAATTGTGAAAATAATAAAAAGGAAAAAAACAAATAATTGGAAATACCTTCCTCAACCGGGCTTTGTGCAATCGATCACATTGTATATTTTATTCTATTTAAGAGGAATGCTGAGTATCTCGGTTCTTATTGAACTTTTCCGAATGAAAACATTAATTCCAGTGGCAAGGGTTATTTACGTTTAAAAAAAACTATAAAACATAATTCGGTGATATTTAATTATTGGCCGCTTTTTCATGAATTCAACTTTAATATCTTATTTCAATCCTTTTATGTAAGGTTTTGGTTGAAATGAAAAATCTAGTGTCACGAGCGGGATTCGAACCCAAGACCTTCGGATAAAAACGCCGCTTCTCTAACCACTTGAGCTATAGTGACATGGAATTGTATGTCGGAAGGAAATTCGTTACTTTTTTACTGGTCATTTGACTGCATGTATAAATTAAAAAATTATTGCAAAATATATCAATTCATTGTTCAATTAATTAATCTATATTTAAGGTATTGGTTGGAATAAAAAAAAGTCAGTGTCACGAGCGGGTTTCGAACCCACGACCTTCTGCTCAATACGCCGCTTCTCTAACCACTTGAGCTATCGTGACTTGGGAATGTATGTTGGAAAGGAATTTGTTACGTTGACTGGTCATTTGACTGCATATATAAACTAAAAAAAGTTATTTTAAATTATATTAAGTTAATTCATTGTTCAATTAATTAATCTGTATTTAAGGTATTGGTTGAGATAAAAAAGTCAGTGTCACGAGCGGGATTCGAACNCTAAAAACTTAATTAATTGTAATCTATTTTATTTTCGGCGGCAAATGAAATGGCCACGGAGAGCTTTAGTGAAGTATATTTCATTTTTCTTATTACATTTTATTAGGTTTCGTGATCCGCTTGACCAAATAAATTCTTTTCAATTAATTAAGGTTTTGGTTGAGATAAAAAAACAGTGTCAAGAGCGGGATTCGAACCCACGACCTTCGGCTCAATACGCCGCTTCTCTAACCACTTGAGCTATCGTATTTCGATCCACTCAGACACTAACTTCCTATCTCAACCCCACCTTTTGAATCTTCCCTCCTTTTTGCCATCATTTGGTCAATCGGACCACGAAAACTAGTGAATTTAATTCATTGTAATGATTAAACGTATAAATCATATAATTGAGGGAAGTTTCTGTAAATAAAAAAGATAAATTTTCCCTGCAGGCTCATGAATATTTGCAAATTTACTAAGTGCATCTGTTTGAGAGCGTATCCCACTGAGAGTGAAATTTAGGTTATGTACTGCATGTGTTGCACAATATTGTGTTATGGATGTCAGGTCTGGGGTTAACAACAATATGAATCCGTTTAAAAAGTGAAAAGTTCAGAAGGACTTTCGCCTACCAGCAGCCACTCCAAATTATTTAATTTATTTAGAAATCTCATACGAACTCTTTTTTATTTACACCTTGAAGTTACACTTCTCATTCGTTTTTAAAACCTTTACCTCTTCTGATGCGAATACCCATCTCAATTATTGAAAAGAAATTGTCTTTGCTCACTGGTAAGCACTGTTCCGGAAATATTTTACCCCTTTACAAAATATTTTACAATGGGAATCGTACCTCTCACTTCTCACAAATAAAATTTCCAAAATTCATTCATCTACACATGATTTATCGCTATGTAAAGAACTTAATCGTTCCGATCCCTTATTCGAGTTTTATATAATTTAAACGGTTACTCGATAAATGATTTGGTTTTCGGGGGTTCTGGGATTTGCTCTCTCTTCAACTCAGATGGGATCGAAAATATTACTCATTTTCTAGCTGAGTTCAATCCTGGGGGGTCGACTTCATGTTGACTGTTTCAATTTTGTTTATATTTGCCTAGAAATATCTTGATTAATTGCTTGAATGGCACAGTTATGAATTAATATTGGAATTTAATTTTTAACGTACTTTTTTTCTGCATAGATTTCATTTTTTTTATTTTTTGATTTTGAAATAAGGATTTGTAACCAATTTCTTATAATTTGCTAAATTTTTCTGTCAATTTCTTTATTCTAATGTAAATCAATTTTTTTTTATTTTGCTTATTTGTATCTTTACCGGTTTTATTCGTAACCATTGTTGAATTTATATCTTTTTTCTATTTTTTCGATACATTTTTCTATTCATTTTTTATTCGTTTATAAATATTAATCCATTTACGTTTTAGTGGTCAATTGACCAAGTTAGTTCTTTCAATTAATTACATTTTCTACGTAAGATCTTGGTTGAGATAAAAAAGACTGTGTCACGAGCGGGATTCGAACCCACGACCTTCAAGTGGTAGAGTAGCAGCGTATTTAGCCGAATGTCGTGGGTTCGAACCCCGCTCTTGATCTCAACCAAGACCTTACATAGAAAGAATACTTATTAATTTTTATTTTATCCTTTAGTGTAAGTTAATATTCATATTCAGTTTATGATTTCTTCATTTTAGTTCTTTTTTTATTACAATTTTTAACAGCATCCTATATTTTATTAAGTCGCCATTATACATATATTCTGTTTCTTCCGGTAAAGACCTCTGACAGACGGATTTTGGCTTTTTTCTATTGTTGTAAATATTATTATTGTGTGTGGTGATTAGAAGAAATACTTTGATTGAATATTTTTTGCATTGTATAAATTCACTTTTTTCCACGTTCTACATGTATTTGTTAAATTTAAACAATGTTGGTATACTGGCCCTGAAGATGTTCTCAATAAAGGTCGAAACGTTGGCACGATAAAGAAAAATTTTTTCTGAAACCTACATTGCACCAGACCGCATCTCACTATTTCCGAATAATTATTATTGTGTATAAAAGTCTCTCTCTCTCTCTCTCTCTCTCTCTCTCTCTGTCTCTCTCTCTCTCATCGAGTGTATTAATCCAATTTACAGTATTTTGAAAAAAAAATGTAGGATATAAATTAATTGCAAAAATGGATGAAAGTGTGGAGGTAAAATAAATGGATTGGTACCTTGGGTATATAGACCAAAATTGGAGAAATCAAATTTTTCGCATTTTAAAGCTAAAGTTACAGTTAATTTGTTTTAGCCGGGTGTGAGATTTCACGTAAGTCTTATATCCAGTAAAGTCCAAGATATGGTATACTATTCGCTGGAGGAATTTGAGTACCATGCCCTCGTGCCATACCCGATCAAAGGCATGGAAAGTTGATGGATATTTACGACCAGATCATAATCAGCACTTTAAATTTTAGGAAGGGTAATTATGACCTGACTGAAATCTTTAGGAAAAAAACGCCTAGAAGAAAGTCAAAATAGGATATTTATATTCATTAATTTTATCAAAGTTGATGTGAATAAACTTCTAAAACATTTTTTTTATGCTCGACATAAAACAGAATAGAGAGAAAGAGCTCGAACCTCGAAGTTGGAATCATTAGAATTGTTGGGTATGGAGCAATAGGGGGTACAAAGGTGAAAAATCGGGAACAGAGAACAAACAATATTGGGCTTATTATATTCCCTTGAGCTACACTTATATTTTCATTCCTTATGAGAACGGATCTCGACCCATTACCAACTCTAATATTC